CTGGGAGTATTGTATACCTTAGCCTAGGACTGAGCAGTGCTACTCTCTGGGAGTATCGTATACCTTAGCCTAGGACTGAGCAGTGCTGCTCTCTGGGAGTATCGTATACCTTAGCCTAGGACTGAGCAGTGCTGCTCTCTGGGAGTATTGTATACCTTAGCCCAGGATTGAGCAGAGTGCTGGGAGTACTGTGTAGGCAGGGGTATGGAGATGCATCTGGTACCAAGGCAGCTGTATGGAGGGTTTCCATCAGATTTACTGGGGCTGCCCAACATGACAGGAAGGTTAATTGTTGAATATCTTCTCTGCATGCATCTCAGTCTGGCTGCAGTGAGAACAGTAAGATGGGGGATAAAAAAACCTGTGTAACCTGACAGTGAGCTATCAAAATATGTGGGATCTTCTTAAAGTTGCTGACAAAATTCGAGCAGAGGAGGTCAAAGGTAAAACTTTCCTTTTCATTACTTTGGCTATCGGAATCAGCTGTCAGTATCCATAGTATGAATGATCCACTCATAAGTGGTGTATTTGTGCAGTTATTGTATGTGTGTAAATGTGCAAATTAGTGTAGGTAATGTTAAGTTGCATCCACATGTTAGTACACAAGTAGACCTTAGTATGCGTGGCTCCTGCTGCACCCTGGTTACTGCTTTATGTTCTTTGTTCCAGCCCCAGTACTTCCTGAGTGTGCTTTCATGCTCTCACAGAATACTCCATCCTGGTCACACTACTAATGCACACAGTTATTGCTGCTTTTACTGCTCATTCACTATGCTGCTCCTTATTTTTACTGCTTACTACAGCTGCTATACACTGTATCAAATTAATAATAAAAATGACAATGAGAGAGCTGTTAAGGATGATTCATACCTGCCAATCCAACAACAAACAAGGGAAACATCTATAAAATACCATAAAATGGCCTGCAAAATACTGTGGGCATGACTCAAACGGGGTGTGTGTGTGAGTCAGGCATATATTACATTATGCGGACCAAAGCATTGGGATAAAAAAACTGTTATTTTGACATTGTGAGGACCAGTTTTTCGGTCCCTGCAAGGGGAAACACAATTTTATAAAAATCAATGACTGCAATCAATAAACTAAAAATGCAAAACTTGCATTTTCTTTGGTTATTTATGGTTAAGTATCAGGCTGGGTAGGGGTTAAGTTTGTCATAGTTGGGATAAGAGTTTGTCCCGTAGAAATGAATGGAGAGTCACCACAAAGTTTTTTATTTTATAAAGAGCCAACACAATCGGAGTGCATTGGTGTGAATGGACACTTAGAATTCTATATTATGAGCACATTCACAGCTGTGAAAAATAATAAACATGAGATTTAAATCTCATGGGGAAATTTAATCATACTTAGCAAGTCTGAAAATGATGGATATATCTACTGGGATTACTCATATTAGAGCCAACAGTATTTATGCATATATCTACTGGGATTACTCCTACAATAGCCAACAGTATTTATTGCTATATCTCCTGGGATTAGTCCTGCAACAGCCAACAGTGTTTATGGATATATCTACTGGGATTACTCCTAC